TGAAGGGGCAGATAACGGGAGCTTTCCAGAAATATTTTCTTGCGTGGTTCACCGTTTTTGGCCCAAGTTTTGTGGGAGAAAAGGCTGAAATTGCAGTCTGCGTTCGGCCTGGAATGTGGGCTTGGAGGCACGAAAAGCACGAGGCGACCAATTGCACTTTATCAAAATTAACGTAAGAATTGCCATGTGCTATTAACCAATGGGGTCACATTGAAGGTCTTTTAAACTCGAGCTTAATGAATTGAAAACCCTTTTGCCAAACAAACAATTTTTTATTTCGGGAAGATCAGCCACAAGAATCGTTAAATATTCTAATAACTATGTAAATGTTGAATGAAATAACAATTCGTATTTACTGAAAGACACATTTAAAAATCGCTAGTACAAAACAGCAGAAATTCCCTGCAGAACGAAATATAACATATTGATAAATAAAAAGGAATTAATTGAAAACGCGGATTAATTTCCCCAAGGATTTACTCGTTGGACAGGCGGAATCGTGTGTTGACAAAATTTTTCATTCAAAGTCTCATTAAAAAAGGAGCGATATATACTCGATCAATGTAACGAAGGATGTCCAGGATTTAGTTACCTCCCTGTATTTTTCATTGCCACGTCAGTTAAGGTTTATAAACTGGAGATCATTTTTAAGCATTTGTGAAGCGAGGTTTTCTTCCTTACCTGGAATCTCCGCATGTCGCGAGGATTGCCTGCGTTTTTCAGACAGTTCTGGTTGCACTTCAGGAAGAACTTGAGGAAGAACCTGGAAGTAAAATGCGAATTTTTAAAATATAATGCAATGCCTTTATATGCTACATATTATGCGTGAATCTTTTATACACTGTGACAGGTGGAATTCCGGAAAAGTGCGGATATCAGATGTCATAAACAATGTATTGTTATTTCCAGTAAATCCACTGCATACGTGTACTATATTCTCGACATTTAAACTTTAACAGAATTTTAAGATATATAACATTCTAAAAGTATGAATTTTCTTAACATTTAACATGGTATTTTATACATATCACATCACACAGAAGCATCAGTACATTATATTAATCGGTAAGTTTAGTATCTTTGCAGAGTAGTACACTCGCATGTAGATTATTAATATATCCATGCTAAGTACGATCATGGTAATCATGATATAGTTGGCAACTAGACAAATAATTGACTCAATAACAATTATGGGCCTCAATGGTCTTATTTTTTGACTTAAAACAGAGCAAAGCCGTAATTACAGGCAGTATAAGGTATTGCAGAAAAACACTCAAATCAATGGAGATATCTTACGATTATTCATTACCCACAAAACAAATTTCCAAATTTTTCTATTCATTAACTACGTAGTTTTCAAGAGTCACTTTCTCGTACAAGCACTCCGTGAACCATCCGCCGTCGTACGCCACGAGAAAGTTCCCACCGCGACAGCCGCTGCGCCTTGCATCTTTCAGCGAACAGGCGCGAGCGACTCTTCCGGGGCGACGGCGTGGTTCCGCGAGCCGGCACATCGCCGACATGTGTCATCGCCGCGGACGGCCGCGCGGGCTATGAAGTTTGTCGGGCTGTCACGTGCGACCGGATTCGCAAGCGCCGAATTTAGCTACGCGCCTCCCGCGCCGCGACGGGCGCCCGGACGGGCGACGAACGCGTCGACGGGGGGCGGGGGCGGAGGCGGGGCAGGCGCGGCTCGGGCAGCGGGGTGACGAGCAGGGAGCAAGCGCTCCCACCGTCGACAGCGCGGCCACCCACAAAACTCGCTCATTTTCGCCTGCTGCCAGTTTTCCCATCGTTTTATCAATTTATCAGCCGATTCGCTTTGGCGATAAATCGCGCAATCTGGTAAGCCGGTCAGCGTCATAAAAAGCTTCATGGAGACCGACGCTGCCGCAACCAACCCGCCCGTCACGCGCTTGCGCGGCAGCCTCGACCCGTCGCGGAGGCGGGGCCGGGGGGGAGGCGGGAGGCCGGGAGGCGAGGGCGACCAGAGATGTATGTTGTAGTGATGATAGAGTAGGGTGAATGGTGGTGAGTGGTGGAGAAGGAAGAGGTGAAGGAGCTAATGGAGGAGGGGAAGAAGAAGAAGAAGAAAGAAGAAGAAAGGAAGAAGCGAAGGAGAAGAGAATAGAAGAGGAGAAAAAAGAGGAGAAGAGAATAAGAGGAAAAGAGGAGAAGAGGAAAAGAGGAGAAGAGGAAGAAAGAGGGAAGGAGAAGAGGAGAAGAGGAGAAGAGGAGAAGAGGAGAAGATGAAGAATAGGGAAAGAGGAGAAGAGACAAGAGGCAGAAGAGGAGAAGAGGAGAAGAGAAAGAGGAGAGAGTGAGAAGAGGCAGAAGAGGAAAGAGGAGAAGAGGAGGAAGAGGAGAGAAGAGGAGAAGAGGAGAAAGAGGATTTAGAGGAGAGAGGATTAGAGGATTAGAGGATTAGAGGATTAGAGGATTAGAGGATTAGAGGATTAGAGGATTAGCAGGATTAGAGGGATTAAGAGGATTAGAGGATTAGAGGATAGAGGATTAGAGCGATTAGAGGATTAGAGGATTAGAGGATTAGAGGATTAGAGGATTAGAGGGATTTAGAGGATTAGAGGATTAGGAGATTAAGGATTAGAGGATTAAGAGGAGAAGAGGTGAGAGAGGAGAAGAGGAGAAGAGGGGAAGAGGAGAAGAGGAGAAGGGAGAAGAGGAGGAAGAATATAAAAATGTAAGAAAGAGACTTAGATAGGAAATGTAGCATGAGGAATTTCTAGGACGGGCTGTGAAAGAGAACATGGAGAGATGGCAATTATTATTGGAAACTGTAAATGGAAGAAAGCGTATGTCATCGTGCCTGGAAGTATTGCGAAAGCCAATAGGAAGCTCAGCTTTAGCTTTTGTGTTCATTGTCTGCACTTTAAGCAGAGGTGCCAGTCATTTTAGATTAGATGACAGCTGCTTCATTTATCATTATAATGAATATTACTATATATAATACAATTCACTAGAGCGCGTCACCTGTAAGCTAATCAAAATTACCGTCGAGAATGTTTTTCACCTTCACAATGGGAATCATCTTTGCGGCCCTAATTGTTACTGTGTGCATGAAGCAATTCAATAGATTTATTTACAATGGAAAATAATCGGAACTGATTTTTATTTTCCCCGAAACGAAAATCGCAAAGCACATACCATTTATACATATTAACATTATGTTCTGTATTACTCAGATATTGAATTTCAAATATTTAAATTCTGTCTCAAATGCTTGAGAAAACACAAAATAATGGGGGACAAAATTTGCCAACCAATCATTTTGAAATTAGATATTAGAAAATTGCAAAAATTAGAAAAGAGCTCTCCGGTAAAATCACAGTTTTATGGCTGCGAGTATCACGAAAACTCAACGCCTTAATATTATAAATTATATTTTTGACTGTTCAAAGAATGTCTGCCTCGCCGAGAAAATCTAACCCGGAATTGCTCACGGCTGCTCAATATTTTAATTGTCCCTGAGGCTTCAGTGTTTAGAAGCGACTTGCGGCTAATAACCCGCCGATATGGATTCGATTCTTGATTGGTTTAGTGAATCCCTCACTCTTCAGTTATTTATTATCCTAATTGTAGTATATCAAGCGTAATATTTAGAATTAAAAAAACAAATCCTTCTATAGATATCTCCAAGCGAAATTGTACAGGAAGGACATTATAATTATGTGCACATTTACAGAGTGGAATGCGATCAGGAAGGCAATTGGTTCTGTGACTCGGCCGCAGGACTTGGCTGACCAGGGATCTGCAGCGACAGTGGCCGTCCGTTAAGATACCTCGGCCAAGTCTCGGTGCGGCGGCTCCGCCACGCCCCGCAAGAAGTACGAAGGAGGGTGGCGAGCGGGGAGCAGTGTTGACATGCACGAAAGGCGAGTGTTAAATCGGAAATTGCGTGCGGTCGGGCCGCGGCGGGGAACACCGGCGGCGCCGAGCGAGGTGAGGCCAAGGCGGGGGCGGGGCAGGGCGGACGGAGCGATGGCGCAAACGGGGGAGCGCGGCGACGGCCGGCTAACATCCCAATTACCGGGCCGGCCCGGTGGCGCCGCCCTCGCGTCTCGGCCTCCCCGCTCGCGGCGACGCCCGGCGCGTCATGACTGCACCCGCCACGCCGCCGCCGTCTGCCGCGCTCGCCGCCACCATTCCCGCCGACCGCCACAGCTACAAAATCCACTGGGCCCGGGTGAAGGGGTCCGGGGCCAACGCCTCCACCGCCACCACCGCCGCCGCTGAACCCGCGCCTGTCCCGCGCCTTCGACTACCCCGCATTCGCGCGACAGGTCCCAGGCCCCCCTCCTCCCCGCTTCGCTCCACGCAGCCTTAAGGTGCGCTCCGCTCCCTGCTCGCCGCGCAGCCACCATTGTCTGTCCCCGCGGGACGCGGCCCCGGGTGCCACCTGATTGCCACTCGCGGAAGGACAAACAGTTTTACATCACTGCCGCTCCCGCACACCCCCGCGCCCACCTTGCTCCCCTTACGCCTCTCACAATCCCTCGCCTCTCTCCACCTCGCCCTTGCCTCCTCCCGCCCTCCGGTTGTCCTTCATCTACGGTGTCGAGACGCCGGAGTGCGCCGTCGGTAGCTTGGCTGCTGTCCGTCACTGCAGTGCTAGCCATCAAACGTCTTCGCCACGGGACGTAAAGCTCGCCTCACACTTCGATAGAAAAACTGCTCATATTTCACGTTAATTAATGGACTGTAGGGTTTACACTGTTTTTAAATAATTCCGTTTACTCCATAAATGATGGAGATATGAACTTACATTTCAATTGTTAAATATTTCCCCAAGTCACTAGGAATTCTCATTCGCTGTTAAAAGGAAAAGTGAAGGAGGAGAAGAACATTTTGTTTCAAAAGATGTAATATAATAAACTATTTTATGATGGAAAGATGGAAAATATTGTTTTAGTAAGGGTTAATAAAATTGTACAAATGTTGTTTAGCAATTAACTCATCTTTTTAAAATTGATGGAAGCATGTTTGTCGAAATATTTTTATATGCCACACCAATTCTGAATAAATCAAAACACTAAAATGTATGGTTCTTTGTTTGAACTCCACAATAACATATATAATGTATTAAAGAATCCGCTATGTAAAGGTATTTTGCAACGTGTTGTAACTTCTATAATGTTGCCATGTTGACAACAAAACTTAAAAGTTTTCGTAAATGTGATTGCAGTACTTTCTATTCATTGCTTGCGTTGTAAGTACCCTTTTTCTGAAAGCCATTCATTCGCTTTGAGAATGCGCGTTTGTGTAATTGGATTAAATTGATCTGAGAAGCGAATCCTCGGGGTAATTGAATTGCACGGCTAGATAACCAGTTTAACGGTCACTTCGCTTCGGTCAATTTGAGTGGAATATAAATATTGAGTAAAAGCCAAAACAAATAAGAGTGCTCTGTCGTTCACGTATTATCGATTTTTATTGACACGTTTGTATCTTATCCACCGGCATTTGAAATGGTCGTCGAGAAATGTATTTGGGAGATCATACAATGACCTCATTATTTGTTTGTACTCGTTAATACAAAAATTGAAAGTTAATTTTGCTTCACGATATTTCTTTCCCGACTTTTCACTTCTCTCTTTCAGTGAAAAGAATGACTCGTTTAGCAAATATGTTATACTCTCTACAAAAGAAGTTTTAGCATAATTCTCATCACATGCTTCAGATATCAAGAATTAATATTATATATTGACTACACTCTAGAGGTTTTAATACCGGCTGTTCACGCTC